GCAAGTAAAGTGTCAGGCAAATGGCGTCGGGCAATTGAGTTGTAGCGCAACCGAGTGTCGGGCAAACGACTTGTTGCAGTATGGAATATCACTACTATCACTACAAATGTTGTGGACAAAGTCATTTTTCTCTGTTAACGAAATTATTTGTTTGATCTCTTGAGTAAAATCAGCACCACAAGTCTCCTCTGGTGCTGATGTTTCATCTGTTTTACAAACGAATTCAGTCCATGTTTTGATTAGGCCGTTAAATATTTCTCTGCAAAGGCTGGAACAAGTTCGTTTCGCGTTGAAACTTTCCAGCGGCATTCTCATGAGGGTCGTGTTTGATAAATTGATTGCCCAATTTTCTGCCCAGTTATTTTACTAAATCTGCTTTTCGAACTGGATCATTTTCTTCATTATCACTACGTTCTGTGAGATTAGTAAACTCAAGCACAACCACAAATATTTCCTTTTCACTTAGGTCTTTATCAACTAACAATTAATTCCTCAATATCTTATACATCATCGTAGCCTTCTCTACCAACTGTGTATTCCATTGTTATAATGCTGGAAAATTCATTCGTATAAGGGATTGGATTGGATTGGATTATTCAATTATGGCAAAGCACATGAGGGCTATCTGCCTAAATTCGTATAAGGGATGATAGGATCTTTAGTCTTATATATATATATAGTGGCCGAACCCGTTTCCAACATGCACTGAAGTTGCTGCTTTTAATTCAGTTAACTCTTGATGCAACTTGGTTGGTGCAGTCCATAACTTAGACTTTCTTCTACGCAAAAATGGCTGTTAGTGTTTCATCATTAAGTTTGCACAAAATGTGTTGAATGTTCATTTTCCCCATATCAATATATTCTTGCGTGCATATACTATTATTCTAGAAAGAATTGTTTTTCTTATAATTTAAGTGAAAACAAGTCTTAGAAATTAGTTTGGGCCGCTTGTGTTAAATCGAAACGGCACGAGTGTAAAGAGCAGGGAACATTTTAGTTTTTGTATTAAATCAAGTCATTGTAAAAACATAATTATACATACAGCTTTTGCTACTTTTTCCACTGGAATCCTCAGGAAACATATATACTGGATGCGCCAATAAGTAATACGTTTTAGTTCCTTTGTAGCACGGTACACTTAGTACAATCCATTTTCACTCGGTAATTTGGGGAAATAATAAAACTAAATCCACTCTACTTATCCAGCACATTAGTGATTCAGTATCTGATAGCCAGACTGGAATGTTAAGTTTTTGAAACACCAACTTCAGTTTTTCCTTTTTAATTCACATTTCTTATTTATTCTAAGTTTTTTCCTTTGTTTAATACATTCTACTTCAGTCTTCTATTACACTACGCAAAGGGAAACAAAGATTCTTTTATTAAATCTGTGTTTCGCAAACGCAGATTTAAATAGTTTTCTCATAGGCAGATTTCCTCCCACGTAACCTATATGCAGTCAGTTTGACTTTTAGGTATGTTTCAAGATTTACTAAATGCATATGCATTAAAATCTGAAATACTCATGTTAATATCAACCTTGTCTGAAAGCATGTCGTACGATTTCAGTGTAGCAAAAAGAGAAAAATGAAAAGTACTTAGAAACATTACATTCAACATGTCATTGTGAAACTGCTAGTTCATGATAATAAATAGCAAGTCATTTTTTTGCTTAATTATGTGCACCTTTAACAACAAGACGCATTACATGTGAAGTAAACGTATGCCAACTGCCAGTTAGCGTTCCTGTGAATTTGAGAGAACTGGGTTCATTTGAGCCTTAGCATTCAGCATGAAGGTGCATTCACACGTTCCAGTTTCCTTGCGATGTAAATGTGTCGAGATAGTTTGATAGAAAGGCTAGTATTTAGAACGAAGAAGTTACTTTTCTATTCATTCTTGAAGAAATAAATAAATAAAATAAAGGATTACCCTGTTTTCGTAGCATTAGGCTTATGTAATGGGTAAAATCTAATTACTAGTCTAATTGGATATGAATTTAGTTTTTGAAAGCCGCCATCAGAATACCTCTTTTTTCTTTTGCAAACAGCATCGATGACGTCAAAATACGCAATTTCCTAAATTACAGAATGTAAGGGAAGATTCGAAAGCCTGTCTTAAACCAGCTTAAAAAGGTGGCGGCTATCTCGGCAGATATAAATAAACTACAAATTATTCGAAGGAAAGTGCTGAGCATTATCGCTAATGCTTGCATTTTCATCAGAAATTCATTGCTGCATAGGGACGGAATCCCTCTGAGAAGTGAGCATCTCAGAAATACCAACAAAAAGTTCTTTGCTGAAGCAATTAACAGCTCTACTGTGAATTACTCATGGATAATCAATTATGTATTTGAGATAATAAGTTCATTTGACCATTTGATACGCATCTGTTAGACGACTATAACTTAGATTCTTTTATTGGTAGCTTATAAATATTTATATTCCTTTCCGTGTTTTGATTTATAATTTGTAATCATTAATAAATATTTGATTAATTTGCAGGTTTTTTGCTTTACCTTTTGTTTAACCTTATCTTTGTATAATTATATCTATTCTGTTTTTAGTGTCTGAGAATTTAGAACTTTCAACATGAACCGTATATTTTGAATTTTCCTTGAGCATACTAGTGTTGTACTCGTATATAGTTTGATTTCACTTCTGGAGTTCCGCCTGTCACTAGTGCGGTAATTTACACTTCTGTCATCCTATTGTTTCGTTTGTTTCAAGTATAGTATATTTGAAATATTATTCTTGAAACTACCTCTAAAAGTTCTCATTGCATTGGGACAAAGATCTCCACTCTTCTCCCATCTCCTTTTCTTTGAAGCATTCACTTCATCAAACTTCAAAGTCATGGCGTTTTAGGAAAATCTTTATTGAGCTAGTAACGGCTCAGTGGGACTAGGCTTCTACACCTATAATACATCTGTATCCGTATCTTGTATTATATAGTAACAGCCCAGTCGGGCTATAGGCTTGTACACCTATAATACATCTGTATCCGTATCTTGTATTATATATATGCCTTGCGTCCAGTAATACATTAGATTTAAAGATATTTTTTTTTGCAGAAATAGTCTGAACTATGTTTCAGCATCATGGAGCTTGGAAAGCAGCTGGTCATCTTGAAACTGGTGAATCATAAAGGCAAACAATGAATTTCTTAAGCGTGTCCCAAAGGGTAATTTCTCAGCTTTGAAACATATTTCAAAGTATTAAAAATCTTCACGAGAGTAGGCAAAGGTCGCCCGTTGCAAGAATAAAAGCTAATGATCCTATTCTCTTCATAGCAGCCTGATGAAACAAAATTTTAAATATATGGTTACCTGCAAAGGAAGATTATTCAGGCTATATGGCGAAACATGCTGACATAAACTGAACAAAATCGCCTTCGTCAGTAGAACCTGAATGCACATCTAGTTTACTTTCCCTTAACCGTAATACATCGTAAGGCCGCAGGAACTGGAATGAATACTGCAATTGGAATAGTAAGAGAATGGAGTCACGTGCTCTTCACAGATGACTCACGATTCTGTCTAGAGCCAGATAATTGTAATATCGTCATATAGAGAGGAACATAAAAAATAATCTATTTTATGGCCGAAAGATCACAAAAGCCAGGTGGAGGACTAACCCTTTTGTACAGATCTGTGCAATATCCAGACTGCTGACGCGTCAAAGCGAGCAAGATTGCATTTTTCGTTGGCATGAGCCTTAAATAACATATAGGTGACAGTACAACTTTGATTTACAGTACCCTGTGAGACGGGACCTCCCACCCCTCTTTCTCTACCACCAAGCTACTCGAGCGAACTTTCGGTTCGCCATACGTTTTGTATGCTCCCATGTTGCGCAGATACCATATACTTCCAAACATCCACTTCTTCTCTGGAATTCGAACGCAGTTCCAACGATGCAATAGGCAGGAGCACTAACCCCTATACCCATCAGGGTAGCTGATAGCATAGTAAGCAAATCAAGTATTTAATCATATTGCAACACACTCGAAAATGGTGAACTTCAGTGGTGCAGCATGAACATACTTGTTTCTGTTCGAGGCTTTGCACTGTTAGTTTTTCTTTTTGAAACTTGCAAAATATCGAGTATATGTATTACCATTATCACTTAACACTGATGAGCTACGTTCCATACACTGACAATTATTAAAATTACGTTAGGTATGTTCTGTCGAGTATAGCAGCACACTGATACTTAGGATAGTATGTCTACGGAGTTACTAGAAGTTCACATATACAACCTAAACGTTCCGCTTTGAAACTCAAAGTGTTTTTCTATATCTGTACGGTAACGAGGCATATTTCTCTGTTGTTATATGCTTTCTGTTGTCATTCAAATCCGTATAGTCTATTCTAAAACGCTTTGTCCAGAAAAGCCTTTCAATTCTACCTTCGGTCTTGAGAACCCCGTCAGCGGCCGAATGGTTAAATTCGATTAATATTGGGAGTTCGACCTGGATTCGATCTCAGGCGAACGGGCTGGTTGAATGTTTGGTTTTGTGTTTTTTCTCATGTATAATGTGAATATGAGCCAGTTTCTCTCAGAAAGTCCTTCTCGAAGGCATCCCTCTCCTTTAGGCAGATAGCCCTCGTGTGCTTTGCTATATTCAAATAACCAATCTTACCTAATCTTTAGTCTCGAGTGTTACCATCAAAATCACAACTCTGTAGGAATTAAACAAATAACTTTTGGTAAGTTGAAATCGTCAGTGTAAATTAATTTTTATGAATTCTGAGTGCAGAAATAAGATAATTTTTACCAATTTAATCTTCGTCCAAAAATAAAAAGTTTGAACATTTATATTTAGGAGAATATTGTTTTCCATGCTTATGTTATTACCTTTTTTTCCCTCTGCTCTACAATAATTATATATTTCAGTCAATAGTTTGAGTGTTATAATTACTTGATTCGTAAACAAATGAGAAATTTTTCTATCTTGAAAAATAATACGTATTTAATGCTTTTATTTCGTTTTCTTAGGGATTTGTTTTCGCAGATGAATTAGCTGAGGAGTTGCACAACTTAACGCAGGATTCTTCAGCTATAAATTTAGAAACTCTAGAAGCTGCCGCACAAGGCATTGAAACTATTGCAAATTATGCTAAACAAGACAAAAAGGTAGGACGCAGTTTGCATTTATAGTACAAAACAACATTCTGTGTGTTAAACTTCTTAAATAATTAGTAGCTATTCTTATTTTATTCCTAGTTTTCTATTTCATTCAAAAATCTATACTGGTTATAAAAATTCAAGATAAATTAGTACAGAGGTGACTATCTAAGCCTATAATAAAATGGCTTGAAAGAAGATTTCTATAAGCCAAAATGCACTTTTTTAAACGTTGTGCCTGAGATTTTTTTTTTTTTTTTGGTCTACATTTGGGTTACACCTTAATTTTACATGCACGTTCAGTTTAATGAAATTATATTGACAGTTTAAAAGTCATGGGAAGAGCAGCTAAAAGAGAACTGGTACAACGTACATAAAAACGTTGCATTGGTAGACGCACTAGTAGCCTGAAACCTAACATTCATTTCAGAGTGGTCGTTCATTGAAGCACGTAGACAGTTATCTGACTTAGCGTGGCATGTTGGTACAAAAAAGATAAATGCTGTTATGTAAATAGTAATCATTTTAGCTCTAAACCTTAACTCTCTAGAATAAAGGCAGTAAATTCAATAGTTCAGCAAGTTGCGATGAACTACAAAATTACAAAATGCATTCGATTTCCAGTGATGGCCAACCTTCTGACAACCCCTGGAAAATACGTAAACGCGCTTGAACACATTGTAGACATTCATTTTACTGACGTTGGAGCTCACAGTGATATTCTGGGTAGTAAGGCTGAGCAAGCTGGGGTTTTTAGGGACCCATTCGCCAAATCCTGGATGTGGGGAATCATCATCCACTATCCTTTTAGTTCAGGCACCACTGTAGAGACATTAGGTATTTTTTGGAAGCAGGAGACTTGAAAAAATAGCAACGCCCTCGGCGGGAATCGAACCGTGGACCTCTGGAATACGCGCCCAGTGTGCTGACCACTACACTACGAAGGCATTCTAAGAAGGCGGGAGAAATAGCTTATAACCTATTTCATTTTAATATAGTGACTACTGGACTTTGTTTTGCAGTGATGCTTTGAATGCTGTAAACGTAAAGCATATCTCATTGCACTGCATGTTATATGCGAGTGCCAGAACTACATTTAAGGCATCTCTTCGTTTGCTGGCCTCCTGTTTCCTCCAGCCTAGTCAAGAGTTGAGGCTTTTGTTGTCTCGCTCAATTTCATTTGTTATTTAAGCTTTTATTATTATTACTACTGCATTATTATCTTTTTATGTACTGTGGTATTTTTATTGTATTTTATCTATGTATTATATTTTATGTATTAATGTACTGTAGTATTGTTGTATCATACCTCGTTTGCATTATCATTATTTTTTACGTATTATTTACTATTATTGTTGTTATTATATTCCTTACATTATTATTTGTATATATTCCTTATTATATTCTTATATATATTTCTTATTCTCTCCAGATCTACATATTATGTATTTTGCACTGTATTATTGGGTTGTTTACATACATCTGTAATCCTGATGGCATACTTTGTAGAACACGAGGACTGTTATATTTGTTTTCTTAAATAAAAGAAAAGGCTTACAAAAGCCCTTTCTTCTTCATATGGCAAAGGACTCCCGTACCATCTCTAACCATGCTTGTGTGTTCTGTCTTAGATCCCAGCTTAATATATTTAGTCAATAAAAAAGGACGAGGAGAATAAGCCATGCTACTACTGAAAAGTATAAGTAATAAGCAACATACTGCTTTTCCGTAAAATTACGAAACCAAATGCTGTTCATAATTGAGACTTCCTGCAAATGAAATGAACTAATTTCTAAGAATAGTAATCACGACTATTACCGTTTGTATCAACCGATAATTCAAAGATCGATTACTTACCGATGATTTACCGTTTGTACTAACCGATGATTCAAAGAGCGATAGAAATGTGAACTCTTCCTACGGGATTTTGATGCCCTCGAAAGAAAAGTTCACAGGAAAAGGTTTCTTAAAATCCAAGAACAGTATATTTCATGCTCAGTTATCTGAAATAAACATGAAATTTTCATACAAAATAACATATCTTACTTCTGCTTTCTCCGTCATCCATCACAAAAAATAAACTTTGTGAGATTTAAATATCGAGCGAAGATGCAGAGTCAGAGACAGTTTGGCAAGGGACCAGCAACGCTGTTTCTTTTGTGTACTGCCCACCTGTAGCCCAAGACACGCTGCCCTCCGAAAGTTAAGGAACAGCATGTTTTTGTGTCTAATTTGAGAATGAAGCAACATAGAAACAAGAAATTTGCAGAACATGTTCGCTAAATAGTTTTTTAATGAATGTGGCATAGAATGTTTCTAAAGTTCAACACAAACATGTATTACAACAAAAATTTGAAATCTTGACAAAGAAATCCAGTCTTGGAGAAAGAGTATATTACAGTTTTTTCAGGAGAAATGAGGTGTTAACATTACAAAAATTGGTTTTGATAAGGAATGTTCCACCCTTAACTGCAATACATTGGCGGCAGCGACGATTCATGCTGTCAATAAAGTTGTTTAGTGAAATGGGAAGCAACTACCAGACATGGAGTAATCCTTGTTCAAGATCATCTAACGACCTTGGAAGAGGACTTAAAGCAGCAACCTGTCTTCCAAGGTAGTCTCAAAGATGCTTTCGGGTCTGGGTATTGAGCTGGCAGTTCCATCCGCTCCACACCGTGACCCTCAAGATATTCTTCAGCAACCCGAGCTCGGTGCTGTCGCGCATTATCGTCCGTCAGAAAAAAATCAGGACCAACAGCAGCGGCATATGACCAGACATATTGATCAAAGATCTCGTCTCGATATCTCACACTGGACAAAGTTCCTCCATGGAACACATGCAGGTCAATGTGACCACCGAGAGAGATTCCAGCCCAACGCAATATTCCACCACCTCTGTAACTGTGTCTTTCCACGATGTGGGATTGGTTATCTGGTGCATTGTTCTCTCCAGATCAGCTGACGACCTGAATCACTCTCCAATGTGAACCTGGACTCGTCTGTGAAGAAAACAGACGTCCATTGTTGACTGGTCCAGTAGACGTGTTCTCTTGCCCAACGTAAACGGGCACCTCTGTGTCCTTGGGTCAAAGGGACACAAACAAGGTGGTAGTCTTGCATACAGACCTGTATTGTGCATTTGTTTGCGCATTGTACCAGCTGAGATTCTTGTTCCTGTTGCCACTAAATGATCTGCCATGAGTTGAAGCACAGTAATGTTACTCCACCTTCTGGCCGAAAGAACTAAATAACGGTTTCCCTCAGGTGTTGTAACACTAGGTCTGCCTGCCCTTTAGACACAAAATCCTCGGATTCGAACTGATTCCATAATCGGTCGACCACACTAAGAGAGACACTGAGACATCTAGCAGCATCAGCTTGTGACATCCCCATTTCCATCCATCTGATCGCCCGCCACCTCAGCAAATCGGAAAAACGACTTTTTCTGGACATTCATAGGCTCTCCTGTATATTGTCGACGAAACTACTAATAACAACTGATGATCAAATACTCGTGAACAAAACTTACAATTTTTGCCTTTTTTCTCCAGCTGTTATATAAGTATTCCTTTCTATAAAATAAAAGTGGTACCTATTGTTTTTGCATATATTTCCTTAACTTTCGTTACTATCATGCACATAAACTGTGAATTTAAATATTACTGACATTTTTGTAATGGTAAGCCTTCAAAAACATGCTGTTCCTTAGCTTTTGGATGGCAAAATAATTTCACGGATTATTTTCTGGCATTTTGCTAGTGTTTATGCATAGAGGTCGAGAATAGTTTGAAACTGGTTTTATAGCAAATTCATGTACTTACTGTGTTACGCATATTTAAATTTTTGAATTTCAAGATCCTTCAAGGAATGGTGAGTAATTTTGTTGCATTATTAGTTGTAACTACAGGTAGTATTATCAGTACATTTAGTTTAATTTTGTTTTTATTCCAATACTTAGCTTTCTGGATTTTAATCGTACTAGAACAATGTGTTCTCAATAGTACAGGAAATTAAAAATAAGAATAAATTAAGAATTTTAATCAGGTTAATCTATACACTGTGCGAAAGTTTTGAGGAGCATGGTGAAGAATTTTGTCCCACAATAAATCTGTAGATCTTGACTTTGTTAAGTATCCGTGGCAGGAAATTGAATGCAGAGTCTAACAACTAAATCTGCTTCTATAAAACCAGGTAGAATGCATTTAATTGAAATATTCCTTTGCCATTTGCACCTCGCGCACTGACAGAAGAATTCTTGCGTAAAATTCAGAATAAATTAGTTGAAAAAGGTAGCCAAGGAGGTGGAGATAATAATTTGATCAGTAGTTATACATTGTTTGTGTTATGTATGAAGTACAGATCATCGGTGTAAGAAGTCAACAACATATTTGCCGCATGTTTTTATTATCATCATCACCACTACCGTAATGTTTTAAGACTGTCATCTTTTTAATATATTTGAAAGACTTTTCATATTATCGTTAATAAAACCGTCTAAGCAGTTTCTCTTCTTTTTGCGATAGATAGCTCAAGGGATGGTGCAAATTATCAGTAATGTAATGGATGCAGAGGAATTGATTGAAAAAGATGAGGATGGAACATTCAGCCAAAAGTAGGTCATACTTTTAATAGAAAAGTTAAGTTAATGATAAAAATGTTTTCGCAGGTGGCATAATCAGCGAAACCTAGCTCGAAAACTCTGCGATAGGGAGATTGAAATTACTCTTAACAGGCGAGATGTCGCAAATCACAAATCACGAATAGATGAAGATCTAAACCAGCAGTCACTGAGCAAAATACTCTGCAACAAAACTGATTTATTTCTTAAACACAAAACACCCAATAAAGAGCCATAAATTCAATTTTAAACAAAATACGCAGTAAATAAGGACACATTGCCGTAAAAAACGCACTTAATAAATACGTAAATAGTATAAACAAAAATAAACCATGATTACAAAAAATCAAAATTAATTGTAAATATTTACATGAATTACTATAATATAATACATTTGCGTGCGTACGGGTTCGTAATGAATTCAACGCACACAGCCCCAATTATAGATAGATTAAAGTTATTTTCCCAACAGAAACACTTAACAGTTCTAGAACTTTCAACTGAAGTACTCGTGTAGCTCTTTCCAATATGAGAGAGCACAATCAGTTGTTACCAATTCAAACTGTTAATAATGTCAAACGTAACGCAATGCACATCTAAAAAGTGAAGCTCGCACGGAGATCTCTCAGTACTAAGAAATGGTGTTGTCTCCAGTCTTGTATAGTTTCCCCCGGCCACCGAGGAATTTCTAATACCTTCCACTTCTCGAAATTATTGAAAGGTATATATGAGTAAAGTTAAATATAACTGCCGGATACGGTCATAGTTATATATAGGGCTCAATTGCTGTTATTCAATTACAGTACCAATTGCACTTATAAAGGAACGGATCAAAACGTCGCCAAATGGTCGCGAAATTTTGCCACATTTGACAGTTTCTCGCCAGATTTGATGACAAAAATTAGTATCGCAAACGATCGCTTTGGCAATATCTCGCCAATTTAGCGAGATATCCATTTAGCTCAATGTTAAGCAGACTTGCCCCTGCAATCTTACTTCTCCTGCAAAGCTTCGTATTTCTTCAGACTTTCTTGTTCTCAGACTTATTCATACAAAATTCGTAACATTCTCCCCTTGATAATGACTTCACATCCTGGGCAGTACAGTCCATGGACAGGAAGCCATACTTAAAACTAAGAAAATTTAACACTAAATTAATAATTTTAGTACTAAAATAATAATACATTAAAATAATTATTTCAGTAAATAACATACAAAAAATCATATACTAAACCAATAAATAAATGCATACATTTTTTAATTTATATACAATATATTTATGTACAGTATAGTCTTAATATATTATTTACATCATATGCACTATGGGGACTACTTACTATAGTCACAGCAAGGGTATAGCCTGTCGTAATAAACGACTTTAAGCTTAAAGTTTCATGAGTCACGGATCCGAACTAAGATGTCGTTCAGCTTCTTTAGGACAGTGTAAGGACCGTCGCAGGGTGACTAGGAAAAGTATTATTCTTCGAATCGAATTCCATGACCACAGATTGTCACCTTCGTTTAATCAATGTCCTGTAGTCTTCGTGTCATATCGGATCATCATTATCTTCTCCACCAAGCTGATTCTCTCTCGTGTAAAATTGTGCGTCACTTCAAACTGTACCTGGAGATCCTGAATGTACTCTTCAAGCGATGGAAGCACATCCAGAGGGCGACCAAACAAAAGATCACCAGGCAGACGAAGGTCCTGACCGAAGAGCATCTGGGATGGGGAATAGCCGGTAGCATTGTGGCAGACTTGTAAGAACAGATGAAATTTCTAGTCAAAGTCCTGAAGGTTTCTGGAAACCATCAGCAAGATGTTATTAAGGATGGTTAGATTTAAACTATCTGTCATGCCATGCGACTGCGGGATCTAAAGGTGTCGTTTGGATTTTGTCTGTGCCGAGTAGCTTACAGAGTTCTTTAATTATAGCTGAAATAAAATTCCTTCCTTGATCGAAACGCAGCTAAAGAAGCACTGCAAACCTAGAAATCCAATATTGTATCATTACCTCTGTTACCATGACAGCCCCCTGATCAAGAATAGAATACGCTTCAGCCCACTTTTTAAAGTAATTAATGGCAAAGAGGATGTATTTGTTGCAGTTAGTACCAGACATACCAAGGTGTCAAAGCCAATGCATTCGAAAGGCGCTCCTACATTGTAACTTTGCAGCTTTCTTCGGCTGCGTTTTTTCAGTTATTTGAGGCACGCATAGGTATCGCAAGATTGAAACCACTTTTGTACTTTACCTTTGCATTACATCAGCAGAACGGTATCTGAACTCTATGCATGATCTTCATTATTCTGAAACGGTTGCTATGTAGTTCTTTAAGTTCTTCCTGGATTCGGGATATTGGAAGTATCAGCTGCCATCGAAATGCGTTCCCATGAACCGATTTGAACTTCCGATGTAAGACGCCGTTCCGAATATGGAATGACTTCAAGAAAGCTCAATATTGTTTTTTCGAACTGCCAGGTAGGTTTTTCTGTTCGAACATTCCATTAGTTAATTATGGATTTAATGCTGTTATCTTCCAACTGGTCTTGCTTGATTTCTTCGTCAGTCCACAGGTCTGAGTCAGAGGATACTGAATTCGTAACCTGACGTGCGATTAGATTACTTAGCTCATGTTTCGCTTCGATCCTTGAAAAATTTCGGCAGCTTTGTTGGAGGGTTTTCTAGACAGGACATCGGAGTTTCCATGTGATGATACTTTCCGATGACGGTTGATGATGTCATATTTCTAGTCTCTATATCCACTCGGCTGTTTGGATTCTGAAAGTTTGAGATCCAAGTCAAGGTCTGTGCGGAGTAGGAATTTTTTACTTGCTGTAGGTGTAATGGTGGAAATGTTCTACGGATTTAACCATAGCGAGCAGCTCTTTTCAGATGACACTGTAATTTCTCTCCGTATTTGACTGTCACTTGCTTAGTATGCCAAGACACGTTCTTGACATGTTTCTTCCTTGGAACAAACAACACTGACACTCTGATTTCTCTCAACCGATTAAGTATAAATGGTTTGTCGAGCTGAGGCTACGTTATGATTGTTGCAGATGTTAAAGCCTCTTTCAGTTTGTTATGCATCCGTAAATTATTTGTTTACAAAGCAGTTTGATTCCTCTGTGTCAGTTTGTGAAGGGGTCTTGCGCTGAAAGAAAGGTCCTCCATAAATCTCTTATATTAAGTAGAAAGCCCCAGGAATCTTCTCAGGTGATGGACCTTTTAGGGGCGTCTCCAGTCTTTAACTGCCGACACTTTTTCTAGATCTGTACACGCACGTTTGTCAGAAACTACATGTCCGAGATAAGTCAACTCCTTCTAAACAATTTACGTTTGTCAGAGCTTAACTTTAGGTTGGCTTTCTTCACTTTCTGAAGCATCTTTCTAAGACCTTTTAAATGCTCTTCAAAACATTTCTCGGCGTTGATGAAGTCATTGGATTTGTACATATCAGACAGCCTTCTTAGGTCAGATCTCTCAGCACGGTCTCTAGGAGGTATTCGAATGTTGACGGCGAATTACATAATTCAAACGGAACCACCTTAAACTGCCAAAAATCTTTGTCCGGTAGTGAATGCCATCTTTTCTCAGTCATCGTGATGTATCTCTGTCTACCTGCCAGTATCCACTCTTTAAATCATTCTTCGAAACCCACTTGCTTTAAGAACGAGTGTCCAGAACTTCGTCAGTTCTAGGAAGAGGATAGCTGTCTTTCTTCTCGACGTCGTTCAACCGGTGATAGTTAAAGCAAAAGTCTAGTTACCATATTTTCTTTCTGACCAAGACAATGGGATAGGCCCAAAAACATGCTGAAGGCTCGATAAAGTCGCTTTCTTTCATGCCCTTTAGAATTTTTCCTACCTCTTCCTGTTTAGCTGTCGGTAGACTTCTTGGATATTGCCTAACTGGTGGATAATCCTCCGTATCAATTCTATGATATGGCAAAATGGTTCGATCTACGTCAGAAGATGAGCAAGAGAAAATATATTAAAATTCTTGAATGACACATTCTGCAGCAGTCCTCTCTTTAACGCTTAGTTGTGCGTACTGCAATAACTTCGATGTTAGGCTCTCCGAAGTCACAGAGACTGGAGGACTACTAATTCGTTTAACGCAGGTTTTTGTAGTACATGCTGCAACCACATCGCCTTTCCTAATGAGTTTCGCTTTATCACTATTGTCCGCAACTCTCACCGGGATGACGTTCCTCAATAACTCGACGATTGCCGAGGCTACTGAGGTTTACAGTACTTAGGATATTCCATTATCCCGATTCAAGATTCGAATACTGATTCAAGAAACGTAGAATGGATCAAAGTTTTTAGAGAAATTATGTTGTTACTGTAATATGAGATATACACTGAAGTGACAAAAGTCATGGGATACCTCCTAATATTTTGTCGGTCCTCCTTTTGCTCGGCGAAGTGCAGCAACTCGACGTGGCATGGACTCAGCAAGTCGTTGGAAGTCCCCTGCAGGAATATTGAGCCATGCTGCCTCTATAGACGTCCATTATTGTGAAAGTGTTGACGGTGCAGGGTTTTGGGCACGAACTGACCTCTCGATGATGTCCCATAAATGTTCGATGGGATTCATGTCGGGCGATCTAGGTGGCCAGATCATTCGCTGGAATTGTCCAGAATGTTCTTATAACCACTCGCGAACAATTGTGGCCCGGTGACATGGCGCATTGTCATCCATAAAAATCCCATTGTTGTTTGAGTACGTGAAGTCCGTGAATGGCTGTAAGTGATCTCCAAATAGCTGAAGGTATCCATTTCCAGTCAATGATCGGTTCATTTGCACCAGAGGACCGAGTCCATGCCATGTAAAAACAGCCCAGACCATTATGGAACCACCACCAGCTTGAACAGTGCCTTGTTGACAACTTGGGTCCATGGCTTCGTGGGGTCTGCGCCACACTCGAACCCTACCATCAGCTCTTACCAACTGAAATCGTGACTCATCTGACCAAGCCCCGGTTTTCCATTCGTTTAGGGATCAACCGATATGCTCACGAGCCCATGAGAGTCGCTGCAGGCGATGTCGTGCTGTCAGTAAAGGCACTTGAGTCGGTCTTCTGCTGGCATAGCCCGAGGAAGACAAATTTCGCCGCACTGTCCTATCGGACACGTCCCTCGTATGTCCCACATTGATTTCTGCGGTTATTTGACGCAGTGTTGCTTGTCTGTGAACATTGACAACTCTACGCAGTCGTCGCTGGTCTCGGTCGTTAAGTGCAGGTGGTCGGCCACTGCGCTGTCCATGGTGGGATGTTTTGCCTGAAATTATATACTCTCGGCACATTCTTGACACTGTGGATCTCGGAATGTTGAATTCCCTAACCATATCCTAAATGGAATGACCCATGCGTCTAGCTCCAACTACCATTCCGCGTTCAAAGTCTGTTAATTCTCGTCCTGCGGCCATAATCACGTCAAAGCCTCTTCACATGAATAACTTGAACACAAATGAAAGCCCTGCCAAAGCATTTCGCATTTATACATTTTCTACGCGATACTGCTGCCATCTGTATATTTGCATATTGTTATCCCATGACTTTTGTCACTTCAGTGTAAATACTTTTTATATTTTGATGTAACTGACAAAAAATATTTGTTTAGGACTTCATCTCGGGTAAATCGAATTTCACAAGTTGCTAATGTGATTTAGATGTAAGTACCCATATCTAAGTACTGGTGTGAGTGTTCTGAGATTGGAAGTTAGAGTGTTCGTTTTATTCTTAATGATTTTGCGTGTCCTCTGCACACTTTGGCAGATCAACTGCCACAGGGGTGACGCTTTGAGCTTTCCACCCCTAATGGAAGTGGGCTTTCAGGGCGATAGGGCGCATAAAATCATTTTAAAATTTGTAATATTCATACAATATTCGACCACCTTGCTTCTGGTGGTTAATTATATTTTTTAGCCGTACCAGGAGTTTCTGTGTTTAACATTTCTGTTTTTTATGCCTTTCATACTATACTGGTAGTAAAAATTCTGTTCTTGGTGTTACTGTGGCATCGTCATTTGGTGGATCGACTTAAGTCCTTTAACATTAATTTTGAACATAGTTATTTTCTCAGAGACAGAAAGCAGTTCGATATTTTTAAAGTCAAGGAAAAATTATATTTCTTTACGAAATCTAATCCTAGTATGTAGGGGCCTATAATATTTGCGAAATACTCCGTGTGATGGTTGATGGCACTTCCAGATGTGATGTTAACGTTTCACGTTCCATAGATGTCGATTTTGTCACCGGCATAGTCTGAAGGGTAATGCAGGGAAGCGTCCAGATGAGCTTATCTTCCAGTTGGTGAGCGAAATCTTTTCAGATGATGGTAATTTTGGCTCCTGTATCAATGGTCATATTGCAAGGAACTCCATTATATCTCCCATGATGAAGAACCCATTACTGCCGCTACTCAATGGCAGATATCGGAAGCGATTTAAAATGGAGTTTCTCAATATCTGGCAAACTTCGGCCGCGACATGACCACTAATTAGTTTCTTTTTTCTTCCTGAGAGCGGCGTAGCTCACGCGTCTTGAGGTGTTCTCTAGTTTCTCTGTACCACCGGCACTCCAGCACTTCAGATTCGGTTTGTTGCCGCTCTAGTTCCACTTCAAGACATGGAATTGAATGGTTAAATGATCTAGACGAGCAATCAGTTGTTTCATTTGCGCCTAGCATTCGGCAGCTCTGATTGACTGGCGGTCTCTACGGGATCTTTGTTGTGATGCCTCGAATTCCATGGCGTACACTAAAGCGCTTTTTAGACCTTTGACATCCGCCATTCGCAGGGCTTTGTCTATCTCAGGAGCCCGGATGCCATCGATGTAGTACTGCAGGGACAGGATTTCGCTTGTTTTTGACTGGTAGTCCAAAAAGGCAAGATAAAACAGCCTTTCAACATCTGTGGCGAGCTCCTGAAGTGTTTTTCTGGGCTTCTGTAGGCGCGATTTTAACTGAAGCCTGCTTTTAAACACTCTTTGCCAAATCGGGACTCCAGCCCGTTGGACAGAACTTCGAAGTCTATCCTCTGGTGTTCGGGCAGAATTTGAAGGGTTATCCGTAGCGTCTGCTCTCAGAGAAGCGGCGAAATGGCAGGGTTTAGTTTCGGAATCCCATTCATTTACGTTTACCACTATAGAGATTTGCACCTTGTACACTTGCCGTTAGATCTTTCCATCGTGAGTGGACAGCTTTAGAGAGGGTCGAAAAGATATGGGTAGAAATTTCAGGGCATCAGAATTTCTTCCCGTTGTCGCTATGGATTTCTTCAAACTGTCGATTTTCTTGGCGACAGCAGAAACTCTGTCATTGATTTTTTGTTCGGTTCGACAGTAAATCTCTTTCTCCGATTTATTTTTCTGCAGCTGAAACTCTTTCTTCAGTTTCTCCAATTTTATTTTCAACCGTGCCTATTCTGCCTTCCATTGTCTCGAATTTGTTTTCTTTACGGAGGTAGTTTCTCTTTTCATTTCCTCTTGACCTGCTTGAATCTTTTCTGTAGCGTCGCTGACTGCCGCGCCGAAGGGTCCGGGTTCAAATCCTGGAGAAGGCATGCATGTTAGTAAATGTAAAGGATCTGTGCGGCATGGGGGCACTCTTAAATATGCGGCGAGCCGAAAGTACTCTCGAGAGGTTGAACTCTATCCTAACATTTCTTGAGGCCGTTCATGTTACATTATACAAAATTCGTAACAAAAACTTATTCAAAGATTGTCTAATAGTCACATTTTTTATAGCATGCTTACTTTTAAAATTAAAGCATTTTAAAAGCTTTATAAAAAGTCGTCTATGGTGAATTTAATTACATATTAGAAAACTTGGTTTCCTTGAATACTTTTGTGACACAGTGATTTAAACAAGTGAAAGCAAACGGCAAATTTTAATTCATTTTATGTTTAATAATTATATTCTGAAATTAGTGAATAGAGCATAAGGAAATTGCAAGTCTACGTACAACGTTGTTTATTATATACGTAATAATTTAAAAACTTAGAATGTTTTTGTTTTAAGCATGCTAGATATTGTGGATGATTTTGCCTCAAACGTGGAGCTTAAACCCGGAGAATCTCTAAGTGTTGCTTCTGAAAACTTACTTATCCAGTCAGTTGAATGGCACCCAGAAATAGCTGAAACGCTTTCAGTAGAGGAGTACGATGATCATTTGCAGTTTGAAGCTCCAGCGGATAAAGGTATTCTTGAAATTGAAGAGAAAGACCAGACTCAAGATAATGAATCAACTTCTGCCAGCAAAACTACAACAGTTCTACCAAGTTCAAAGCCGAAAGTTCCGGTATGTTTTAAAACTTTGCTAACTATTTATCTAAATAAGTTTGCTTCACCGAGGGTAATTTCTGAGAGCAGTGCCTCATTTAAAAGATTAAGGCTTTTAATGTTAGCGTTTGCTTAAAAAAATTACGAAGTCTTGTATACAAAACGAACAAAGGAATTTCTAAATAAATTTCAAAGAGAAAATCAGAGGCAGCATTTCTGGGGTATTTTTAATAGTCTCTTATAAACACAGACACACACATGTGCAGTATATATATATTAAATTAACATAACGTAAGCAATACCTATGACATTCAGTTTTCGGTTATAAATTGGCCTCAGAAAATTAAATGCATGCAAAAAATGCATGCATTTAAACTAATGCAAAAAAGTATTTAAAGAAACTATTAAGAATACGAGAGCTGTTCTAAATCCTCAGATATACCAACGCTGAGCAAAAACAGAGTGAAAAATTTACCATATACCTAATATGATAGCAAAAAGAGTGCAAAACACAAAAGCTTCATTTTTGGCTTGTTTTTTAATTATTTAAATGTGTTTTGCATCTTCTGGCACATGTCCACCGGGGATTGGTGCATAGAGAAACATAAAAGAAAAAACTCGTTCAAGAGTTGACAAACGCACAAATAAATGAAATTAGCCTTAAATCAAGAAAATGTAAATTAAATTAAATCAAATTAAATCAGTATGTGCAATTATCAGTCCAACCCCTATAGGCTGGAATCAAAAACGTACCTTTCCCAAATTTAAATAAGTTTAACAATTAAAAAACAAAGTAAAAATGAAAGTGAATCCAAAATTAGAAAATACTTCATGTAGAACAAATATAAAATTTTATAAAAAGGTGTAATGCATGTAAGTATTGTAATCTGAAACAATGCAAATAGTTCTGATAGTGTGATAAAGCTGTTAATAGACCAGAAACCTGTGTCTCGTATTGAGCACAGTGAAAATGATAATTGTTATAAGACAAAAATATTTTATAAATTTCACATTCTTTATTTGACATCGCAAAAGATAATACAAGAATAAATTTCAAAACAATGACCATCTAGTTCAAACCATAAGATATGTAAACTGTGAAGAGTATATTTTGTGGCTATTACATAAGTTTAAAAAAAAACACTTTAAGATGTATTGAAATTTTCAGTGAACCCTTTTGTGGTGAATGAATATTTAAAGTTTGCTGTATGAAGCATGTGTGATAAATTACACTGCGTTTGCAAAAAAATAAAAGCAATGATTCAGAAATGATTCATTATTTACAAGATCTCGCCTTATTCAGTAGCATACAATTAGACTACAACTCTAAAAGATAACTGGTGAATTTTCACTGTGACTTATAAGTACCACAGAAACAGGGAAAGGGTGTAAAGGACCCTTTATTAATCCAAATAAAGTTTAACAAACGGCACCAAATCGTGCTTACAGAAGCCAATAACTTTAGCTTTAAATCAACGATAATGGATGAACTAAAGCTAATGAAATTTAAGTATAGTCTCACGGCTTCGCAATATAACTAACTAAAGTCGACGTAAACAAGCCTAATGGCAAGAATAATCAAAGCCCAAAGCCGAAGTATACTAATTGGTAGAAAATCAAAGTGAGGAACGTGGCATTCAAGTAGGCAGAACTTGCTCTGATTTCTCCCTCCAAAATCTTCCTTTAAATACTTTCATCTTTCTACTAATTTGAAAATCGCGCGCGCTAAAAAATTGACATTCTGGCCGAGAAATGGAAACGAGGCTGATAGAATAGGAAATTAACATAAAATAACTGGTTAGAGACTTAAATAATACTTTATATACTGTTCCTATAAAATTGGTTTCACTGTTAGAGTAAGAATTAGAAATATAGCTCTTTGACTTATTTATTATAATATTTCATTTCGATGCATTAAAATATTTCATTTCGATGCACAATTGAAGGTCTAGGTCATCTAGTGAAAAATATGGTCACAGACAGTGAAACTAGTGCCCAAAGCAGGAAATGTTGCATTGCTAATGTAGTGATGAAAATGAATGATACACATTATCACAGAAACAGAGCAGTAGGATAGATTCAGAAGGATCTGCTCATCCATTCCGCTCATTTTTAATAGCATGTTAAAATTCGAGTCAGGATAAAGTCGAACAGGTATCTGGTGTTTTCTTAAGGCAGACCGACCCACACTTGTTGAATTATATAGTCCAAATCCCGGATATTACGATACGACGACGACTGCTATTTCAATTGTTCATACATATGCTCGATTTCCAAGAAGACAAGCCATGGAAATCTCTAGATATCTTTCACTGCTATCTGGAATCGGTTCGTGATTTATAATTCTTCTTATTATTATTCATTAGAACAGTTTCACGTCTACTTCTTTCAATGCAGTCGGATGGTACGGTCAAAACGATCCGGTGCATTTTAACCATGACACTTTGCGAAATTACATCATATCGGTTATCTTACGGTTTTCAGCCAGATGATAAGAACACTCTACCGGTTCTTTGTGTTTCTGAGTTTCAACTATAGCTCATACAAAGCTGCCAGTTTGTAGTCGCAGCCGTACTGCAAAGTGTTAGGTTATGCACAATTGCACCGAAGCTCAATCGTCAGCATACCAGTCAGTACTTTAGCTATTCACGTAGTTTCGCGATTGTAGCATATTTTCTTCTACTTTATTACTTTTCTTTCAAATTTCATTCGCAATGAGTATGTCATAATTAGCAATACTGATGTTTCATTATATTTTCAGAAATATTCGTTACTTTCAGTTGTGCTATTCTACGAGAAGTGGACGCAGTGAGAACATTATATGCATATACTACACGCATATAAAAGAAATAACAATACCCCAAGAATAAATGTCTCTGATTTTTTCTTCATACATTTGTTGAAACTGCTTGTATAGAAGCTTAATTAAATGTCCTTCAGACCCTATTGTACTGACAAGCGAGTTATTGCTCCAGCCCGCAATGCTCAGATTTCAAATGGCGAAATTTTAGAAAGGCAAAAATAACTTTTTTATTGAAATCTTTAAATTAACAGAAGGCGCCACTTGTGCTACGAAATGTAACTCCGCTGTTTGCAGGTGTAGCATAAAACATAATGACATAACATAAAACTGAAGTTTTAAATTAGAGTAACATAGTCTGAGACTACAGGCAATATGATCTACTTAAGCTGGCTCAAATAATTAACGGCACTCTTTTGAAGCGGCTGGCAAGATTTCTAAAGCCAAACTAACCTTTGGCAGAGCTAGCACTAGTACATAACTGCAATGCGAGACTGCCAGAAGATCTAATTCTGAGACATTAAAACGCTCGGCTTAAATACACGACAACTAATTTCCATTCTGGTGGCGACTACGGAAAGAAAAAATTACAAAATAAGAAAGCGAAGGTTCAAATTATAATAACTAGTTAATTAACATGAAATCCTGCACATTTGCATAGAAAATTATCACTGTTTGAGTTCTAATTTAACTATAATAGCTCCAATCAATTAAATAGTTAGTTACTTATCGATATTATTTAACTTAATATCGCCAAGTAATGCGAAACTTTCCAGAAATCGAAATCAATTCGATTTTGGTTTCCCACAAACAGTTTACGCCTATTTTTTCCTCATTCTTTCTCTCTAGATCTTGGTTTAGCTGCACCATATATTGCATGGTAAAACCAGCAGTGGGAAATTTTTGTGACTTAGGGATTTAAGAGGGAACTCTTGAGTCCCTAAGTCAATTTTTGTAGCATCACTTCTCCTTGATGACCTAAGTATTATGCTTGATGGTTAATGCAGCTCTGGTTATGCACGTTGGCCTAATAGTAATCACGTTTCCAGATAATAACGTTAAACGAATATCCAAATGAATTTGTAGTCTATTATTCACTCTTTCCCGAAATTCCCGATATATTATGACTCCCAGTATTTCTCTAGGATGGTTAAAATTTCTCAATTAACTTTCTAATTTAAACCAAAATTATAGAATAGGTACCAACAGAGAAAATAGCTTTTTCAATCGGTTTTATGCGATTAAATTTTGAATTACATAAATATAAATTGATTCACTCACTCTCGCTATCCAGAATAGTATTATGAAAATTTCACCCATGAAATCCAGATACTTCAAAATGCTTTTCATTTATTAATCTCTAAAGATACCACTGAAATCACGTCTTTAAAGAATTTAAATTTTTCTTGTCAGAAGAGGAATATATATATAGTTCAGTTATTACAGTAACGTGCATATGCACGTTACTGTAATAACTGAATTTGCGCTCTAGTTGACAAAATCAAAAGGAACTTTGCTTAATTTTTAACATGAAAAAATTATATTTAAATTCTTTTTTGGTTACATTCAGAGGAGTTGAAACTTTCCCATTCCTTCCCATTTCGCCCCCAAAAAAGACAAAGTATTTTATTTAAAAAATAAGTTTAAACTTAAATATCCTAACTTCATTAAAATTAAATTCTCCGTTTACGTTCAGGAAGATCCAGCACTTTTTTCCAAGTTCCTTCGAGAAACAGATATGCTTATGAAATTTTGGCCTTAAATATCGAAACACAGTTTGTTTTCTTCTTATATACTGACAAGGATTTTTACAGTAGATAAAATATCAATGAAAATTCTGGAACTATATAAAATATCAGTGAAATTTTGGGACTTGTGGATTTTCGGGCAAAAGTAGCAATGCTAAAATAATGTTTTAGAAGTCAGTTACCTTGTAAAGAAAGTTGAGATATTTTTATCAAAATATTATTGATTTTTAAAATATTTCACTAACAAACTGAATGCTTTGGTCTAGATACAAAAACTCTTTTTTTTTTTTTTTTTTTTTTTTTTTTTTTTTTTTTTTTTTTTTTAAACTCTTGTTTTTTCCAAAACTTGCAGATGATGCAAGTGTTTGTCCCAAAGGAAGCTCTTCAAGAAGCTCATCGTCAGCTGGAACGTAGTGTTCGAGTTAAATTTGTAGTGTATTACAACGACAACCTTTTTCAGTCTAAACTATCTAGTCGAACTGAGACATCATCAAAATCTAAAACTGAAGTACCTGAAAGTCGAGGTTCTAAAGATGGAACATCTACTAGTGATAATTATGAGCTCAAAATCAGTAAGTAAAATTAGCGTGTTTACACTTTCGCTTCAGGCGTTTAAATTTTGGACTTTTATCACCTTTATTGCTAAACAATGAAAATAACAATTTCTGTCACTTTCAAGCTTCTACTGCAGTTTTCGATCTAGTGCACCACTTGATCTTGATATAACATCAAAAAAATGTACTACATAATATTAAGCTATCTGTCATTTATTTAACATAGTTGTACAGATAATTAAGATTTTCCAAGCTGGAACACATGAAGAATCGGTTTGTTCTAGTCACGAATCTTCTAGTTACGAATCTTCCAGTTGTTAGCCGTAAATTTACAAAACGAGAGCATTCAAGGGGAAAACACGATAATTTACACTGAAAGACTAAACAATTATGACCACCTACTCAATAACACAATGCGCGATCTTTGGCCTGCAAAACAGCTGCAAATTGCCTTAGCATGAATGTCACAAATCCTTGGTACATTCCTGGAGACAGGTTGCACTAAATATCTAAGGAGCTGTCACGCAAAGTCGAGATATTCCGACATGGTGGTGTTTGAACTCTAAACTGCAGCTCCATGATATTTCAAATGTGCTCTTTCAGGTTAAGATCCGGCCAATTAGGTGGCCAGGACATCAACTGGAATTCATCCTTATGCTCCTAGAACAACTCCAACACAATTCGATTCTTGTGACATGGGTCGTTGTCCTGCTGGAAGATTCATTTCCTGTTGGGAAGACGGACGCTATTTAGGTATGGAACTGATCCACAGTTATGTTCAGATAGTCCGCTGTTTTCAGGATCTGTTCTACCGCAACTAAGGGTCCTAGAGCTGTTCATGAGAACGTCCCTCAAAGCATAATGCCGCCACCGCCAGCTTTTATATGGTCTGCTGTACTAGGGAAGCAAGCGTTTGCTTAGAAGACTGCGTACCCTGACACTACCATCGATGCGATGAATGAGAAATCGTTGTTCATCCGAACAACTACCTTCCACTTATCCGTGGTACAGTCGGGATGTTCCCGAGATGACTCTAGGCGTAGTTGAGAATCACTCTTGGTCAACTGAGGCACACGAGTGGGAGGTCTACTGCACAGTCCATATCGAACAGTGTCTGCTGAACTGTGTGTTTCGAAACACTTGGACCTGCATTGTATTGGGCTGTCAGTTAAGCCACTGTCTGGCGCCGATTTTTCTGAACAAAGCAAGACAGTCTTCGACGTTCTTTTCCTTTGACGACGCGTGGACGTCGAACACCTTGCGTCTACTGCTGGATTCACCGTCATTTATCCACTTTGCATAAATACTAGCAAAGGCAGATTGTAAGCAACCTGCCAGTGGTGCAGTTTCGGAGATACTCATTCTAAGTCTTCGGAACGTTACAATTTGCTTTCTATGAAATTCGCTTAGATCTGCAGCCTTTCCCATCACTCGCAAAATTAAGTGCAAGAATGATTCCTTACCTTCTCCAGTAGCAGTTAAACATTTTCCCACTTAATCACATGCTCTCCAAGTCATCAGACGAGTTCATTGGAAAAATGCGACAATGGTCATAATGTTTTGGCTAGTCAGTGCGTATACTCATTTTAGCGCCTATGTCGAGAGCTCCTTAAAAAATAGCACCATTCTAATGGATCTTCGAGCAGTGTTATTTATATTATTGTGAATACTTTAGGAAATATGCCAATTTTATTTTTTTTTCTTGTAGCGATAAACAATTTGACAGTGACATAAATTTCTCTGTTTGTTTCAATCGCCCCGAGGTGGTAAATGAGCATGATACACAAGAAATTCTTTTGTTTCTTCTCCTGTTTATTATTTGTTTGCTTTCCTTTCATTTCCTTAGGTTTATGCGTAGAATGTGTTTTCTTCTCCTTTGTACGTGAACAGATCCTTTATTTAAAGATAGTATATCAATCACTTCGGAATGCTATCTTAGAAAGTTAATACCTCTTATTCCTTTCTATCAGGTACTTCCATTGGCAAAGACAAAATTAACCCTGAACTGAGATTGACTACGTTCTTCTTCTTCTTAATTTGCAACATTTGACTTCTACAGCTAGTGAGAAGTTCATTAATGTATTTTCTAATTTCTGTACTTTTTCTATTCCAGTTCTTTAGTATACATCATTATCAAAGCAATCTTTAGCAGGGTTACAGCGTCTAAACTTTTATCGTGTAAACTAACGACATGACCTCGGATTGTATCCCAAGGCAAATAACTACGCTTGTGTGCAAAATTGAGAGGATATGCAAATTATGTTTATTTTTACGAAAAGCATTGAACTAAAGGTACTAATTATGTGGCGGAAGAATTATGAAAGTATTCAGGGTCGAATATGTAAGTGTACCTGTGCGTGTCTGCCTCCTTGACGGTATAGTAAATAGGCGAGCCTACTGAGACACCGGAGGGCTCGGTTTCGAATCCCGGAAAATGCATGGCTGTAATTGTCTGTCCCGTCATAGGAGGTAACGATGGCCCACCTATTAGGTGCTTTCATAATAAAGTGGCCACCATCTCCGGCCTTAGTAGTGGCCAAACCTAAGTCGGCTAAGTGTCCGCCAGTGGAAAAAAAACTGTGTGTGCCTGCGGAGCTGTGAATGTAGAAGGGAGATAAACGCACGAGGCGTTTCCGGCGATTTGCGCTCGCTTGTACTCCTTCCGGATATTCGCCATGTTTCTCGAAAGATTTGTGTAAATTTATTGAGTTTATGGGTATTCTTTGGTAGTATACACCCTGAACTCTATGTTGAAGACTAAGTAGCGAATTCTCGCTATGTTCTTAAGAAAGCAGAAGAAAGGTTTAAATAACCTTTTTATTTAACACTAAATTAAAACAGATGCACACACGTCGTGCTCACAAATCAACACCACTTGTGGTTACGTAACAGAAAATAAGAAAGTAACAAATCACTAGTAAATTAAGAATTATAAATGACTGACTCCTTAGCTTAAACTAACACTAAATCGGCTGCACACAACAAAACGAGCCGAAAAATATCAGTATAAACTGAAAGGTGTCAAACACCGAACTAGAGATCTAATTCTAAACTCGCAGCATAAACATCGGAACTAAGTCCGTTACTACCCTTCTGAACTTCTGAAGCGCAGCTTAAATACATAGGTTGTTCGCACATTTTTTAGACGATTTTGGTAAGCGGTAATAAAAACTCGTTTACTGCAAAAGAAGTAATTGCAATTGTACTATGTTTTTAAAAGTCAAAATTATCGTCTGTGGCTTGAAAGTTTTGTTTTTATTCAAAATGGCGAATTTAACAAAGCAGTGGTTCGAAGGCTACATTTCTGCTCTTTCCGAAGAAAAATATGCATACTCCGTTATCCAAAAACGATGTGAGAGTCATGGTTTTGTGATATCTAAAGCGTCGATAGGTAATATTATCAACAAGAAAGGAAAAAAACGTCAAATTGGAGCCTCAAGTGGGACAAAAATTCCAAACAAGTATCCAAGGAAAAAACGGACATCTTCGACTATTGCAAAGGTACGTTGTTTAATGTTAAAAGAAAATCCCCCTAGTCAAAGGACAGTTGCAAAATCATTAAAATGCTCGGTGCCCACTGTAAACAAAATGATAAACGTTGATTTAAATCCTAAGAAAGCGAAAAAACGCAATGTGCATCGTCTTCTTCCAAAGCATATCGCTCAACGCAGGATACGCTGCAGAATTCTATATAAGAAACACTTATCCAAAGAAAAATGGAAAACAATTGTCACAATAGATGAAAAATGGGTGTATTTAAATGATTGTAACAAAAAAAAAAAAAAAAAAAAAAAAAAAAAAAAAAGAGCCATTTATTATCATAAAAGGGGAGAAAAAAATTTAAGTACATGGTTCAAGGAATCGAAAGAAAATTTTTCTAAGGGATTCATGATTGTTGCTGGTTTTTCTTATAATGGCAAGTTAAAAATAGAGTGCAAAAAATGTCAAGATTAACTCCAAATACTATCAGGAACATATTTTATCGCCAATTTTTCTGAATTAAATACCATCGCTTTACCCACAGTGCCATCAATCTGTGAGACTCCATCAGGACAAAGCTAGCAGTCACACATCAAAATCCACTGTAAATTTCCTAAAAGAAATGGAACAAAAAACTGTTATCAAGGCCATACCTTTCACTGATATCCCTACTAAATCTCCCGATGTGTCACCTGTGGATTTTTGTGCTTTCGGACTTTTAAAAACTGCATTATCCAAACGTTGTCCTAAAACCCTAACAGGACTCTGGAAAGCTGTTCGGGAGGAATGGGATAGAATACCTCTTCTGCCACTTCAAAAGGCATTATTATCCTGGAAATTGCGGTGTCGAAATATAGTTCAAAATAAGGGATGTCAAATAGAACATTAAAAACACAAGAATTTTATGTAATTTAGTTTGTGAATACACTATAGTTCGTCTAAAAAATGTGTGAACAGCCTCTGTACTGCTTCTGAAACACATTGAAAATTTGCGTCTACGTCAACAAAATTTACATTCCGTCAGGAAATTGAAATTAGGAAGAACAGGAACGTCAAACTAAAAATAACTCTTTATAATAAATTAAATCCTTACAACGTTTATAACGTATCAGGTAAAATAAGTAGCCACGAACGTATGGATGATGGAATGAGATGGAGAATTGTCTGTATATTGGAGACAGGCCAATCACAAACGCAGGTGGCTATGTAATGTAACTCTCAGTGTCAACGTGTAACAATGTAACTCCCAGTGTCGTCTGCAATTTGTGGAAACAGTTTCAGGACACTGAATCTATATCGAAAAGACATGGGCAAAGAAAATGAAATTTACAATGGCGAATGAGTATTGTTATTTGACATTTTCAACGCATTAACACTACAGATTCACACCTCTCACGTGAGCTGTATGCTGCCACTGGAACCCGAGTTTCACGGTCTACAGTTGCCTCACGAAATAGAACTGTATGCCAGAAGACCCGCTATTTGCGTTTCGCTCACTGCAGCACTTAACAGAGTGCGTTTAGCAGGGTGCAAGCAACATGCGCCTTGGATCAGATTTCAGAAAAGCACGGTGCTTTTTACACGAGTCGAGATTTAGCCTGGGCGCTGATTCTCGATGTACTTAAATCAAGAGAGGGCCTGGAACAGGGTACCATGTCTCCCTCATCAGAGAAAAGGATTATTACTGGGATAGAAAGGTGGAGGTGCAATGATTTAGGCAGGTATTATGTTGGACGGCCGCATACCTTTGCATTTGTTTGACAAATGTTCCTTGTCTTCTATGAGGAATACAGAGAAACTATTAGAGCCCTATGTTCGACTTTTCAGGTGCGCATTTGGTCCTGGGTTCCTGTTAATGGATGACAACGCTCATCTACATAGGACTCGGGTGGTCGACGATTACTTGGAAGGTAAGGATATTCGCTGCATGGATAGGCTAGCCAAATCTCCTGACATTAACCCTGTACAGTATGTTTGGGAGGCTCTTGGGAGGTCAATTTCATTTCTCCCTTCGAGAACTATGCCGGAGTTGAAAACTGCTTCTCTGCAGGATTGGGTTTGACTGCAAGAGGGACACCTCAGCTACCCCCTGTCTAGTATGCCGACGCTGCATGACCCGTCTGGCTGGTACCCCATATTAGACTCAACTTCAGTTCGACATCGAAATGTGGATTTTTGACATCCTTTCACTATGAGCTTAACTGATAATATGGCTATATAAAATGATTTTTGAAAAGTACGTCTCTTTCTCTGTTATAAATGTATATTCATACCAAATTTCATTAAAATCTTTCCATTAGTTTTTTAGAAATTCGGAATAATGCAATTCTTAATTTTGCCCACGAGTGTAATTATTGCGCTAAGGCACTCGAGGATTCGCTAACTGAATATCAGAAAGAAAGAAATAAGTTCAAAAAGTTGTAAGGTATTTATTTAAGCTATAAATGCTGGTTGTTTTGTAAGTCCCATGAGTGCCTTTTGTTTAGTTAACAAAGGGTTCTTTTACAACCTTCCTACGTTTCTGATTGAATTCTGAACATAGGGATAATTCGCTCTGTTCTGCTTGGAGTTTTGACTTGGTGTATGTTACCAAAAAAAAGTGAGACACTACAAAGTAAAAGTTTTTCCTTCTGCAATTAAACACAAAGTAATTCTTGCTTAACCTAAATGCTTCAAATAAGAGTAAGACTCTATACAGTAATAGTTTCTCTCTCTCTCTTTTTTTCCTAAAATTAAACACAAAGAAATTCCTGTTTAACCTGAAAATCTGCAATTAGAGAGCAAGCGCTCATTATTTTATATCTTGATGTTCCAGTAATACAGATTTTCATCAGAGATAAAAGTTATCATTAAGAATTTTATTATCTGCATCTTAAAATATTCAAAATTTAATACACCTGTGAAATAAAAAAAGATGCGATACGCAGTAGTAAAACATTTCTCTTTGAAGTTCCTTGATATTTTACTTCTGTGGTTTAAGAATATTCTTCTGTTCATGTTCTCTATCTGAAGATTTTTCATTATTTTATAGCATATTTCTCCCGCCTTCTTAGGATGCCTTCGCGGTGTAGTGGTCAGAATACTCGGCACGTATTCGAGAGGTCCGAGATTCGAGTCCCGGCGAGGGCATTGCTCATTTTTCATCTCTCCTGCTTCAAAAAAATACTGTTGTCTCCACAGTGGCGCCCGAACTAAAAAATGTGGGGGATGATGATTCTCCACCACCAGGATTTGGCGATTCTGTCCCCTAATCCCTATTCTCCCTTTAAAGGGGGGAGTACATAAGGTATTTCTCCCACCTTCGTAGCAGGCCTTTGTGGTGTAATGGCCAGCACACTCGGCGCGTATTCGAGAGGTCCGAGGTTCGAGTCCCGGCGAGGAGACTGCTCATTTTTCATTTGTCCTGCTTCGAAATAATCTAATGTCTCTACAATCTATTTCTTTTTTCATAGAAGCATGCAGACATGTTTCTTCTCTTTTGCAAATACATCATCAAGCAAAGCATATGATAATAAAAAGTAAACAGAGACCTTTCTTGCCTTAAAGCTGAAACTGCAATGCACCGTACCTAGTCAAAGCAAAATCTGAGGTAAAACGTTGTAACAGGAGGATTAAATTGTGTTAGAAATCGGCCATCTGCCTGTTCAGAACATCATATTAATATTTTTTACCTTATACTCGTTGTCATTTATTATGCTTCTTTACATGAACAAAAATTTAAACTTTTGACTAAAATGTTAAGTAAATATCTGTAGTTATCCGAGAGCTCAGTGTTTAGAAATAATTAACTTGACTAATAAGTATGCTCGGCTTTTGTGAGAATATTTATATTATTTCCTTACACTTTCTTTCCTGTGTTACTTGCTATATATTTCTTTTGCTTTTTATTTCTTTACTTTGCACGGTGTTAATTTTTTAACTCTTATAAAGCTGATGCAAAATCCTGTCATTTTGAAAATATCCCAGAAATTGACGTGGTTTATTTTGACAATTTTGCCTTTCATTATTATAAAACAATATTAAACAGCTTTTTCTAAATATGTTTTTAGTTTGTTCATTTCATTGAATAATTAAATTTAATTTTCAGGTTTATATTTTAACAAAAATAAAATAAAATTTTACATTTTCAAGGAAAACATATTTCAGAATTCTTATGTAGATGTATTACATCTTCAAGCGCAGTAAAATTAGAATTTAGGCGGGAAAGAAAGTCTTCCTTTCATACATTTAATGAGAATAAAAAAAGAATTAAAAACCATTTTTCAGACATATTTGTTCAGTGATGCTAGCTTGATATATACGAATCAAATTAATTCTACGTTTCATAGAATTTTAATCTCACATACTTAATTTCAAAGAAAGAATATTTTTCTGAAATAATCTGCTGATCAGTAGATATGAAATTTTATAAAATTAAAACTGAGTTTTGAGATGATTAATTAATATTCAAAAATTAAAACGATTTTCTAATCGTAATTTATTATCTTTAACATTCGAGTTCAATTAATTTATCATTTTATGCCATGCAATTTTTTCTTCCTATTTCAGGAGCTCCAGTACTTCAAATTAGTGTCGGAAATGTATCTTTGAAGAATCTTGGCAAACCTCTAATTTACATCCTCCCTATTGTTACAAAAAGGACACCTTCTTGTGTCTATTGGAATGAAAGAGGTATTTAGTAAGATGCTGTTGTAATAGATTGTCATTATTTAAACTCAAATTTTGGAAATGATTGAGCAATTTAAATGCATACTGTTTCAAATGTTAAACGATAGCCACTTACATGCACTGGATTATAAGGTTAAATTTATTTGTATGTTATGACGAAGAAGCAAATTAAACCTAACGAAAAAGTAAATTTTGATTAGCATTTCGACATCGCTCGATTGCATTTAAGAAACGAACTATCAATAGGAATAGCTTGCAAATATTTGGTGTGGTGTGGTGGTGTATTTAATTATGGCAAAGCACACTAGGGCTATCTGCCTAAGGGGAGGGATGCCTTCGTGGAGGACTTTCTAAGGGAAACTGGCTCGTATACACGTTACACATGGGGAAAACCACGAAAACACTCATGCAGCCAGCCCGTTCGCGGGATTCGAACCTCAGACCGAACTACCAGTGTTCAGCGACTTTACCGCTCGGCCGCTGGTGGGCCTGCAAATATTTGATTTCATGAGAATAAATTGTGTGAGCTAATACTTAACTTCTATGGTATTTATGAAACGCCTCCTATATTTAAACGTTATAATGTTCATTCTTTAGTAAATCTTTCAAGAGCCAAAAATTACCACTGAATTTGAGTTTTCTGTTTTTCGATTGTAGAAAAAGCATTAAAATTCTCAATTCACTTACTAACCGTTTCATAGATTTAAAAACCGCTCAGGCAAAAATACAGATAGTTATTTTTTAATAAATGGTCGTTTATGGTTTAGGAATAAGGCTAATCCCTTGAAGGTGGGTGAAGGCACTAAATGCTCATTTCAGTTAAAGCAAATTATCTGCCTAGGTTTACGGTTATTTCTCTCATAAATGTTAGTGTTAGTCGTAGGCTTTTTGAAGCCTACGACTAACACTAACATTTGAATTTCATCAAGGATTCATACTACTTTTTATAGCAAATGAGCCTGTTGATCTTTCTCAGTTATTCCATTTTATATAAGACTTCGGCCTCTTGCTGCATCAGCTTCATTGCATCGTTTTGTTATTTCACTTAGTCGAGCATTTCGAACATGCAGCTTTATAAACAATTGTCCCATAGATGTAACAATAAAATTTAAAAAGTACAACAGTATTAGTGAGATCAAAATTAAAAAACCTACTTTAGCGGTAATGAATTTTGGAGTAGCCAACAACTTCGCAGATTTTAATATACAAACTATGATTTTATTTTGAAAATTTATAATCTTTTGGAATAAACAGAGACCTTCAGAGTTATTAAAATGGTCGTAGAAGAAAACAGTTCAAAGCATATATCAATTTTGACATCAAAGTAATACTTTATTAACCAAAAATAGTAAGTCGAAGAACAAATGTTAAAGATACTGCGGTTACCGGAGGCATATTTCACAAGTGCACATCAGTGTTGCCACTGAGGGAGGGGTTTCGAAAATAGACCAATGAGCTTCTATCGCTCTTGTGACGCTAAATCTTCATGATGTGCGCGTTAAGTTTACGTTTTAATTTGCATTTGTTTCGCAGTTATAAATGTATGGAGCAATAGTAGAAAATCTGGTAGTTCTTTCGTTTTTATGAGTTTAATTAATCGCTGACATTTCACTTTCACGATTTTTATCACGCATTAATATTTGGATTGATGTTTACGGCATATTATCCCTCTTAATATCGAAAAAATGACTCAAGCTACAGTTAGCCTCGAATATTATGCATTTACTAACACCTGTGGATTAAGAGAATTCAAGCGTATAGCCTATATATTTTTAATTGAGCTGATAAAAGGACTGGAAGTGTTACAATGAATCTTGTGTATTTTCTTATTTCAGTGCTTGCATTTTTTGGTTTTGAATGCAAAGTTTAAGATTCAGATATTGCATATGATGTGTTTGACCTGTTGTTAACATTAAAAGCTATTATGAATAAAATAGTTTTTTTTTTTTCATTGTTAGGGATATTGGGACTTTACTGGTTCTGGATTTTCAGCATTTATGGATTTGTTCTAGAGTTCTTATTATCTTGTCTAAATTGAATAAATTAAATATATTCGTTGTGAATAAGATAAATTCATTCTGTTTGATGTTTAACTCTCTGACTGCTCAATTTGTGGACCGAAAATCGCTTCCGATTTTTTTTTTTTAAATCTATATATATTGGAAAATTGAAAAATGCACTTTGTCTTTCTAGAAAATGTTTTTTATATAGATATTTATCATGAGAAACTAAGTTGCCCCAAAAAAACCAATTTCAGATGTTATCACCAAAAAAAATTTAACTTTTTCAAAATAAATTTCAATCGAATTACAGTTAATTTCTATTTATTGCATAATATATAAAAGTAAAATGTATAAATTTAAGAAAATATAAAGCACGCTAAGGGAAAAATACCTTAGAAATGCAGTTTAGCAGCATGATAGAGTTCAAAACAGGGTTCAAGGCAAAGTCCAACTTCAGCAAGTTTTTGCACCAGATTCAATAAATCTAAGAATAAATTAATAATCAATTAATAATCAATTTAATTAGTAATCTAATTAATAATTCAATAACTTAATTAAATAATTAAGATAATCGTTGAACGTTTTCTAGCAGCCATTTCAGTAAGAAAAAAGCGGCAAAAAGTGAAGTTTGAGAGCTACGCAATTTAGTGGACAACTAACGATATCTTTTGGTCAAAACGAAAACTAAACGCCTTTATACTGCATATAATTTATTTCAATAGTTAAACGGGGAAAAAACGGGATTCGCTCCTCAATACTGGAAGAAAAATATATGCCATCGGAAATTGCGGGATGAGCAAATTTTGCTACATTTGAGTTGCCTGTGGAAATCGCGGAATGATCTGCCAGAGGGTTAAGAATGAGCAGTTATTAAATGTGAAATTTAACACACTAAATGAATACGAATGCAAATTAGTAAAGTTTACTTTGAATAAAATTCTGCATTCGCTATTATTATAGAACATCTTTCTCATATAGGCTGCAATAAAAAGTGTTGACTTCTATTTACATGCATATTTGGTGTAAATATTTTTCTCACATGCATACTTTTATGTAAAGATAGCATTTGGGCTTAGATGTTTATCACATATTTCTTTCTTCGTTTTATTTACCACTTATTAAATAATATTTCACATGGATACTTTTGCGGAGTATCCAACATGTGTTTGTATTTATTTCAAATTCTTTCAACCAGGTAGTGAAATCTTCACAATTGCTTATATTTGATCTAACTTCGCAATGAAAATTTTCAGAAGAAATCGAAGATGCTTTTTTACAGAAAATTGCGTGACAAAATATTTTCAACCATCTTGCTTGAATCTTAAAGCACGCGAAAGGTCATTGGACATGACAGAAATATTACTGGATTCCCATTGGTCCATCCTAGAAGCCACTCCCTAGGTGGCTACACAGATGTGCTCTTGTGAAATATGCTTACCGGAGTACAAATGAAGAATAGGAAACATGCTTCAGTCATAGCAATGGGCAAAATTCAGTAAAGTTCCAGCTAAGGAAAGCAATAACGCTACTGACGCCATCCGTTGAGAAAAAGTGAATATAACTATGAAATAGTTGCTTAAAAAGCTGAAAATAAAAAAGGATTCATTAACTGAACAAATATTTCATAACTGTTTTCACTTTTTCTCAATAAATGAAGCTACTGACTTTGTTCCTTAACTGGAATTTCTCGGTTTATTTATTTGTTTGTTTTTGTTTTTTCTTGCTTTGTGTATGTGTATGTATTAGCATTACGTGAACACATGCTTCCCCTTCTGTCTTTTCACTCTTGCAGCTGAAGAAGGAGGTTCCATTTAAGCTTTAAAACTAGTCCAGTAAATTTATGTAACTTACGCTGATTCTTGTTGCTGCTTACCTTTAACATAAAAGAATACTTTAACCCCTTTTATTAGTACAAGTGTATTTTTTTTTAATATGTAAGGCTCTGAAGTGTGTAAATCTAGCCTTAAAGTCACTTAAACTCTGCTTAGAATAACAAAAGAGTTATCTCGCCATCTGTGAAAGTATTACAAAGTCCTAAGGAAGTTTTAAATAACTTTTTTATTTAAAACTTCAACTTAACAAAATGCACAACTTGTGCTTGCAAATTAAACTCCACCGGGTAGTAGATAATAGAAATTTGAATTACAAATTAAATTGTGTTCTTAGCCAGAAACTGCAACATATCTGGCTTAAGTAAGTGTTGGCTTAAATTTCTAATTGTGATGTACAACTTCGGCTAGCAGAGTGGCTAATGCCGGAATACTAACTTAGCAGAGCTGGGTGAAAGAAGGCACAACTAGCGAGTGTATCTACTAAAAGCTCTATATCTAAGATTCCCAAGAAAAACCATATTAAATCTGTTTCGCCTTAAACACAATCTTAACTCATTTGCATCTTGGTGAGGGCTAACGAAAAGGTATAGTTATACTAGTATATAAATTCTACAAATGATAAGATGGAACTCAAATAGCCGATATTGTTTTCTTTCAGAAAAGTACTGATTGCATTCAAGAACGGAAAATTCAAATTTAAAAAATTATTAAAATGCATTGTTATCCTGAAACTGATCTTTTCAAGAATGAATCGAACTTTATGCAAACTATGCCATTGAAATTATTTCGCTATATGTAAATTTCAGAGCGTTTATGGTCCGCTGATGGCTTGAAGACTAACCATACTACGGACAAAGTTATTTGCGAATCATCACATATGACAGCATTTTCAGTACTTCTGGTAAGATATATTCAATTCATTCAGTGCCATTTAGCATTTTAATGTTTTAATGTTAATTAATATTTTAATGTGCACTTTGGTAAATCATATTCAGTTAAGATAATTTAATTTGTATGTCGCTACTGAGAATAATTTGTAGACTTAGCTTTATTTCATTATTTAAAAAATTTCTATCACTGTAAATGTATTAAGAAGCACTAGGTGTTTTTTTTTTTTTTTTTTTTTTGTTACACAGGTAATTTAGATTCTCAGTTTTTCTCAGGTTACAGAAGGCATAATATGGTTTAAAGTGCTTGATAAAATGTGATTATGATTTGAAATTTATTTTTTTAATTCTTTAGATTAAAGTTTTAAACGAATCTAACTAAAGGCTATTGCTCTTGCACTACAGGACCTGACACCTCAGGCAGACAAAGATGAAATGCATGAAGTAATTTTATCAATTATATCATATGCTGGGAGTGTGCTATCAATCATTGGACTCAGCTTAACCATTATTACATACCTTTTGTTTGGGTGAGTGTATCAAAAACATATTTTTCCCTTTCTTTTGTTCTCAAAAAGATCCATATTGTATAAAATGATAACATATAATGTTATGACGACTGTTAGAAAATGAAGGATATGTCTTGTCTTGGAAAGAGTATACTATAGAAGAAATACCAATAGGATTTATTTAAACAAATTTGTTAGGCTGAATAAAAAATTGCACATGAACAAACTAAAGCAGCGTCATATAGATAATGAAATAATTTAAGTTAGGTACTATCACATCAAATTATGTACCACAGCTGTAATATGATTTAAATTACTAATATTTCAAATAAGCTCAAATTTGGGCCCTAAAACCTAAAATAGTTCATGAAATATCAAAACAAAAGAAAAACAACTGAAAATAAAATAAATAGAGGCTAGATTGATTCGACTGAGAAGAGAATGGCGAGAGTTCAAATTAACTGTATATTAATCATGTTACCATCTTGCAAGCAGAAATATAATAATAACTTATTAAATTAAATATAATAATAACTTATTCTCTAGATATAAAAACAAGCAGAAATATAATAAACAAATTAAGGATACTTTTTTTTATTTTTATGCTTTTATCCTTTCTCAAGCATTTTATATACAAGGGTTTCGAAAATCTCTTCCCATATTTAAATTATATATATATATATGTGCAATAGAAAATAATAATATACAATATATAACAGTTATCACAAATTTTTTTAATGAAAATATCTCAATATTATTTCCCGGCAATATGCTAAAAAATGAATCAGTTACAGGTAAAATAGTAAGAAATTTAGAACCCAAACCACAAAGACATGAAAGAAATTTAAAATCAATAAAATCCCTAACTCTCTCAATAAACAATTTTTAAAAAAACCATCATCTTTGTGTTTTAAAACCAGAAGAAATCCTTAAAACAACAGAAATGCATAGACATACAAATAAAAGGAAAAAGAATACAATTAAAATCTGATTCAAGGTTATCAAGAGGTAGCTGAGATTCAATTTAAGCCTTTCTCCTAGGAAAACCATTATCTTTCTATTCATCCAAAATTAGATAATGAACCACTTTAAATTACTTAATTATAATAGTTCATCTGAAAATTCTAAATGCCTCCTCTACACAGTCGCTCTCCTTTCATATGAAATAAAAATGCACCAAAAAAATTTAAATAAAAACATTCGATGCCTAATAAAGCAAGAGTGAAAATAAAACAAAAGTTTTTGTTTAAAGTGGTTCATCAGGTAATTTTGGATGAACAGAAACACAGTGGTTTTCTTAGGAGAAGGGTTTCAACTGAATCATATCTACCTCCTCTTGATAACGTTGAATCAGATTTTAATTGTATTCCTTTTCCTTTTATTTGTACGTTACATGTTTCTGTTGTTTTAGGGATTTTTTTCTGGTTTTGAAACACCGAGATAATGGGAGTTTTATATTTTTTATTCGGAGATTTAGGGATTTTACTGATTTTAAATTTCTTTCACGTTTTTGTGGTTTGGACTCTAAATGTCTTACTATTTTATCTATCAATCTCTCTCTCTCTCTCTCTAGATATATATATAAGTTTTATGAATATAAGTTTGACGTGACGATTCTCCATGCTAAGAGGATTACACGACTGCATGGAATCGTGTGATTTCAAGATGATTTAGGTGTAGCAATTGCTATGGTATCCCGAGTTGATATTGGTCACTGATAAGTTGAAAGTGTAAGCAACGAGTATCAAAAGAGGCCACCTATCAGTCTCAGTAGCGGGCGCAGCCCGACCCGCCTAACCAAATAAGTTGGTCTTATGGTCATGACAGGCCACGCCTAAAGAGGCCAGGTAGTTAAAATATCAAGAAGCAGCAAGCAAAGTTTTTGTAGACTGGAAATGTTTCGTATTTACTCCGAAGAGATGAGCTAAGAGCGAGCGAAGAGATAGTTGGTGTAGAGAGGGAGTTACACAATGGTGATGATTCATGCAGATTGTGCACGCTGAAGTCGCCCAATTTGGTGACCATTCGGCGACATTTTGGTCCGGTCCCTGTATAACTGTAATTGAACAGATGCAATTGATCCCTATTTGTAACTGTAACCGTATCTGTCCCTTGTATATGCCTTCCACTAATTTTGAGAAATAGAAGGTACTACAAATGTTCCGGTGGCTGGGGAAAATTATATTAGCTGAGAGAGAGGATCAGTTCTCAGTTTTTAGGCTAAAGCTGACTTCGGAGTTTTGAGAGATTGTGCAAGCTTTACCCTTTGGTTGCTCTTTGCATTTTACTGTGTTTAACGTTATTAGTAGTTTGAAGTGATAACTGCTGATTGTGCTCCATTATACTGAGAAGAGCTTGTCAGGACTAAGTGTTCTATGCATACTCTTGGCAAACATAATGGTGACAGTATCAAGGTCCTGATCTCGAACAGTGAGCTGAATCCAGCTATGTTCTTGTGAGCGCTAGAAGAACTACAACGTAAGAAGGCTGTAAAAAGACCCTTTTATTTAAATCACTATTTACAGCAACTCCCAGCTCGGGAGTGATAACAGAAAAATAATGACCCCGCATGGGTCTAAACTGAACAATCAAACAATTTAAAGTAAAGCTTAAGTAGAAATTCTAATAGTTTAAACGGAGCTTAAACGCGAGATTGGCCTATCTATGGTGCGAAGCAAGCCTTAGCTAAGTACTAACGCACTTAAAACACTTGAATAACTATTAGAGTAATAGCGCTAAGGCGTAAGAATTTAAATACTAACTAGTCTGGCGAACGTCCACCGAGCTGAAGTGGTCTGAGACTCAAAGCTCTCTCACACTTGAGAAGTTTCTCACTAACCTTTAAATACAAAACTTGGCCCCAACACAAATTAGCATAAAGCTGAACCGCGCGCTCATTCTGAAGGGAAGTTGAAATAAGAGTTTACAGGAAAGGGTAACTTAAAATAAAAAGAAATTTGGGTAGTTTAAATTAAAACCTTACATACTTTCCGCCAGAATTTGTAAAAGTTGAACTATGCTGTTCCAAACGGACCTGATTGAAACTTGTCGATTCTAAAAAAACTAAAACTTAACTTCTCTTAACCTAGGCCAATCATTTACAGAAAATAGAATTTCCTACAATTTACTGACGAATGAACTGGATTTTACATACATCTTCATCTGTTTTGAGTTTATCTCCTTCGCACACCCCTTCCAGCAACATCTGGAAGGAAATATTCTTTAGTAAAACATAATAACAATAAGTGCCAGGTAACAAAGACTTGTTTTCCTACCCTGTAACTTCACACACATAAACATTCAAGCAAAAATTTAAATTTTTTCCAATGCTCTCCACCGGTGTTGGATGAATAGCCAACCGCAATTGCGAGTGTTTTTTTTCCGGGGCTGTTCGACTCTACCACCTACGTTCGACTTAACATTAGTTAAAATTTGACCAAGACCTCAAAAGACACCCTATAAACAGCTAAACAACACTCTATGTGTATTTGGTGGAGAGCCTACTATTAACTTGCATACTATTGCTTTTAGCGCACATTTTTTTCATGCATACCATTCCTAGTTTACATAAAATTTGCTTCATTCTAAAATTAACTTTGCACCTAACGTGCATTGATACAATAAACCTACTTTGTTACAACATTTCATAAAACTTTTAACAATTTCATAAAAATCACAAGATACAATAAATGCGTTAAATTTCTAAGTTTACAGCAAGTGCTTCCATATTCTTTTCAAAGTTCTTTTCTTAACATCGCATTCTACTGGGACAATAGTCTAGACTAAATTGTGTTTTACTTCTACCGACTTTTAATTTTAAAAATTTACAAGTCTTTCGACAAGGCATCATAATACAAAAACATTTAGCTAACATTTTCACAGCAATTCATTGCTTTTACAAAACTAATATCTTCGCAATACTTCACAGTCTATCTTAGAAATATTAAGCAATTTTAAATCTTTGCAAAAAATATATATATATAATTTAAACCAAAACAACTTTCAAGATAAGTAATCGTTTATCGCCCACTTGGCGTAAAAGTCCCCTCTCTTGAGGTAAAAAGAGATTCTGCAACTTGCAGTAATACTTGGAAATTAACTAAACGTTAGCATGAGAAATGCTACTTATCTCTTGTTGTAGTCATCCATTCGTTGCTTTACCCAGCCGTTGAAGGTTGCGAAGAGCTCCGCTTGGTTCAACTTCCTCCTTGACCTGGGGCAGCCACCATTAGTCTCCATCTCACGCTACCGTTTAACACAGCTAGGCTCCAGTCTGGGACATTTACTTCCGCCTCTCGGCTGCTCTGTTGGGCGTTTAGTCGATGACCTCCCTGTACCCCTCGGTGGATTTCTCCTTTGCTCCTGGAACCTTGTTCGTCGTTGTTCCGGCCTCCTGCTGTATTCAGGAACTGGATTATCAGGCTGCAACCGGGGCTGCTTGGTTTTCAGGCTCCTTTCTAACATTTCCACTCCCCTCTTTACTGCATTGGCTTGGCCTTGTCCATTCTGCTTTGGTCTTTTATTTCTGCTCGAAGTCCTATTCCCTTCGCTCTTCCTCTTTATTCCTTGGTCCACGGCGACTTTCGTCCTCTTATTTTTTCTACTTTGTTGACAAGGGCCTTTTTGTTTCTGACCCCTCGTTGCAATTGTTGCCGGTTCTGGTTGTTGCCGCTAAGGTAAGTCCTCCGTGGAAGTCAGTCTCCCCGAATCCTGCAAAAATTCCTCAATGATTTTCATTCTATTACTATTATAATATGGCTTCAGTTGGTCCACATTGGCAGTAATTTTCTCGCCGTTATTGGCTCTTAACACTACCACTGCTTGAGTGATTTTCTCGATAAGGAAAGTGCCTTCAAAACGCAGAAAAAATTTCCCCACTTTTTCCTGTAAGGCATTCGATAAGGCATGTTTAATCTTCAAGACTTCATCTCCGACTTTATAATTCACCTCTCCTCTCTTTTAATCATAATAGTATTTTTGCTTTCTTTGGGCTATTTCAGAATTCCTTTTCGCTTCATCTA